TGGGCTTCCACTGCATTTATTAATAACCCTATTTGGGCCTTTATCCTGAATTCCCCAATTGGGCTTCATTCTTTGGGTTATTTGAATTGGACTGCACTTTTAACGTGTCAACAGCCTCCATCAAATTTTGCTCTATCTTGCCCTATTTAGTTTGAGTAATGCTATTTCCTATTTTGGATCAATTATGTTAAAATATGTACGATCAAATGAATTACTTAATTTTATATTCATTAAGTCAATCACATAACGTCACTTAAATAGGCATTACAATATTAGTGTAGCTAGATAACACTATTCATTTGATTTCGTTAAAAATCTAAGGTTAGTAGATTTCGAAAAATTGATAAAAGTTTTTGAATTCTAGAAAATGTCTGGTTAAAAATTAATGTAAGAAAAAATGAGTTTTATAATACGAGGGTGAAACAAGAACTAGAAAAATCGAAGTAAATTTTTAATTTTAACTCTATATTTACAATTATTATTCATGCTGAAGTTTGGAACTCTTTTGCTAATCTAGAGATTGAAGAGAGAACCAACATAATTTACACCAGAAATTGAAATTTGAAGAAAAAAGATTGATTAATTCTCTGATGCCCATGAACACTATTTCCGTCAAAAAAGGACGTTAGTCGCAAATGTTTCATCGGTTAGGTACTTGGTCGGTACAAATTAAAAGTTTGAGATTCTCACAGGGTTTAAACTCTAAAGGTTTGGTACTCCCAGTCTTATATTTACCCAAAATAAAATGTACAATTATATCTAGAAAAAGGGAAAATAAAAATATAGAAAACTACTTTAAAGAAATGGAAAATTTTATATGTAATAGCTTAATTATAACCCATTTCAAAACTAAGAAATAATGTTTAAAACTTCAAAATTAGATATTATTAAATTTTGCTTACGAAATAATTAATTAAAAACATATTTTATTAATTAAATATATTAATATCACATTTCTATGCATTCAATAGATTACAATTTATTCACCGTTCACAAAATCACAAATTTTATAAATCACAACTTATATAATGGTCACAACTCACAAATTAGCAAATTAATTGGTTATGCAAAAGTTCTCGATCACAATTTAATAAAATATGAGTCACAATCACATTTTTAGATCACAAATTATTTATTGGTAAAATATAATCAATTTAGTAATAATAATCAAACAAACAATTGGTCACAAACACTCTATCACATTCCCCCTCACCACCACTGGACTGCACAAAAATACCACCACATAATACAACAATGCAAAACCACCACAAAACATCGATAGCACTACCGCAAACCACCTTAAAACAACGCAGTCGCTGCTAGGGATGACAAAAAAATTTGTCCCACTTCCCGAATGGGTTGTGGGGCGGGGCAAGATGGGGCTCCCCGTCGTGAGGCTAGAAAGCCCCCGCCCTGTGAAGAAAATAATAATAATAATAATTTTATTTCTAGACAATTCACTCGTTAAAAATTCATTTTAAATTTGTATTTTATTCTCTAATAATAATATAATTCAAAACTTTGAAAATGTAAAGAAAATAAAAAATAAAAAAAATTAAACGAGGCAAAAAGTTGCCCCGAACTCGCCTCGTTGCCATCACTAGTCGCTGCAGGTTCGCTACCACAGTGGCACTCAGAACGCATGCTCAGAATCTATTGCTGTGCACACCAGTGCTTAGTTTTACCACTGCGTCCTGTAGCCAAAGCAACGGCGATCTGAGCCTGCTACTCCGACCCTCACAGTCGCATCTTTTCGGTGGAAAAAAGAAGAAAAGATAGCGAAGAGACAGAGCATCGCTATTGTTGGAGCAGCGATGATTTGAGCGTCATTGCTCCAGTCTTTACAGAGGTGTCGTTCCAACGAAGAAAGAAAAGAAAAGATGTTAGAAAGATAGAACGTCGCTATTGTTGGATTCAATTCACGAACTACAAGAGAATATTCCTTTAGGCTTGATCCATAATTCCGGTTTTCTTTTCTTTTTCTTTTTTTATTTAAATAACATTTTTCTGTACAAAATTTTTATTGCATAATTGAATTTACTATTGTCTATTAAACAACAAGTTTAGCACGTGGAGTTAAATTATGCTATAGTAATTGGCAAGTTAGTAATATGCTTGGTTAAGCAAAAAAATTAATAAAATTTAATTTTAAATAAATTATTTTTCTTATTTTTAAGTAAAAGTAGTAATTAATTTATTATTAACTTTAATCTACAAAAATAATCTATTTAAATTTTTTAAAAATTACCCTAACATGCATTCAATAATATTTAATTATTTTTCCTTTAGTTTTGTCCATTATTTTCAAGATTTAGGAAATTGAACCCCCATTTGACAATTTGAGATTATAAGTTGGACTAACTCAGTGACAGATCTAAGTGGTAGCAAACTAGGTCAGCTAGATTCGTTCGGGAATTTTTTATTTTTTTATTTTTCTTTGCTAATAATAGATAGAATTGTTAGACTATATATTTGATAATTCATATTAAAAACAAATATCTATGGTAACTCAATTGGTTAGCTCTTTCACCATTAGATTGGAGGTCTTATGTTCAAAATTCTTAAAGAGCAATACTTTTTATAATTTTTGTATTTCAACAATTTTTACCTAATCAAATGCTAAGAAAGTGATTCGAAACTACTACCTTCTTTAAACATATTGTCCACTTTACCATTATTGCACTTATTGATTTTTAGCACATAAAATAACAAAATAATATATGTTCAATTTTACTGGTTTAATGCAAATAGAAACATTTTAATCGATGCTTTGTCCTTCTTGATTTTCTTTTCTTTTCTTTCCTTCTAATCAATTGATTTGAGAGTTTGGTCAATTAATGATAGATGAATTTGCTAGAAAATTGAATTTAGTGTCATAAGAAATCTTTCAAAAAAACTTAAACCCCCGTTTGGCCCCCATTAATTTTCATTCCATTACATTTCATTTCTCTCTCTCTTATTTTCAATCACACAATCTTCTATAAAATAATATTATACGTAAATTGAAAACTTTTCATTCTTTTTCAGCTACTCTTTTAAAAAAAAAACCATTATTCCACCAATTTTCATTTCCACAAAATGGGAGCCAAATAGAGGCTTAATTATTAAAAGGGTTGTGTTACATGACCACATCGGTTGACACAAGAGTTGACACATCACATACACATGGGAGCTCGACATTATTTTATTCGCGCCGGACCTACACCTCGACTGTGAGAGGTGTGTTAACTTTTGTGTCAAACAATGTGGTTGAGTAGCATTTTTCTTATTAAAATGTTCCACTTTTCGTTCACAAAAAATCGATTGCGAAAAAGTGAAATCATACAAGTACATAAAATTGATATAAGCATGTAAATAATTTCAATTTTCTTAACATAATAATGCCTGTTTAATTAAATTTAATTGTAAACTGAATATTAACATTTTGTTAATATATATTGTCTATTTAATTGAAAAATAAATTAAGACATTTTGCATATTATAAAATGATTTTTTCATCCAAAATAAAAGTTTGTGCCTCATTCTAGTTCTAAATGTTTGTCTAGTTCTTCTAGTTGTAATTCGTACGATTTTTTAAATATTATTTAATTAAATATTAATTAAAAACGCAGCTATCAAAAATATTAGCCGTCGATAGTAAACTTTCAACGCTCGCGATCCATCCTAACTGAACTCGACCCCTAAATTCGTCGCTGGACGAATTTCATTTTTAGTTATAAATTTTATTGGATTCATAACTTTTGTTCACCTTTTATCCATGCTTTTCATAAACCACAACTTAATATATTTGTCAAACAAGGTTGAATTCATATTAGAGGAATCGAACAAAACCATACACTTTCATTACTTGAAGCATCTTTTACAGAAGTTATGTAATAATAAATAATAAAAAGCCAAGGTGGAGTGGATGGGATCAGGTTGGATTTCTTCAAACTAGAGAAACAAATAACAGAATCAACAAGAAGAAAACAGTAGAAGATCCTTCGAAAATAATTCATGGGAAGCTGCAAGGAATCTGAACCCGAGTAGCCATTATAGGGGGAATAGCAAGCAATGTGGTACTCAAAATTTTGGGGGTTGGGGGGGGGGGGGGGGAAAAAGGGG